AATCACGTGAGCCTATTCGATTTTATTGCGCCAGGGAGGTTTCACAAGACTGAGCGTCTTGTGATAGCCCCCTGGTGCAATAAAATGGGTTCTTTCTTTATTCTGCGGTGTAGCATACAATGCAAAAGAATACGAGGGCCTAACGTTCCAATGAAGGAACGCTCTTAGAAGAACGTTACTACCTGGTAATTTCTGTGAATGCAGCAACTGATGAAGCACGCCTGCTCTAAGCGCAAGTTAGCAACACTCGAACAAATATCGTCGTATTGAATTCTCGCCAATAACGCACATGCGCGCCACCTACCCTTCATGACATAACCAGGCAAGCAGCCGTTAGGTCTCAGTGCCCGAGTAGGCAAGCATAACGTATACGACGATAGGGAAGAGTGTACGTCCTTTCATCTTTTATTGTGAAACATAGTCACTACGTTGTATGGGTGACAAATGCGAACAATGAGCTGCGTATCTTGCCGGGTAGTGAAGAAACTGCAGCGCCATTGTCAGCCCCAACAATGTGATGCATTCACCCTGCTCAGATATACATTACTGACTTGTATTTAAGTGACCGTGTCACTGTATTGGCTACACGGAAACTTGAGTTACTTGACCTTCACGTGGTGCCAGAGAGACCCAAGTACACATCGGTATAACTCGAACCAACGCAATTTACCTATAATCGCTTTTCTGCGTTTAGTAAAAGGCTCGCGAAATCGTGCAGCACATGGCTTCGTTTAACGACAATGCTCTCTTGTTCTCAACACCCATTTATATAAAAAACGGCATCACGTAATTAAACATTTTCTTTTTATAGCGTTTATTCGTTGCTTTGGGGGTCCTCTGTCCAGTCCTTCGTTAAAAAAGCGTTAATCGAACCGTATACGTGTACTAATTCAGTTCACTTTCACTTGAATGCGTTGATTATTGCTAGCACCACTCTTCCAAGGGTTCTTCCACGTCTGGCACCAGAAAAGGTATTTCGTCAGAAACAGCAGCGGAATTGTATTTTCTTTCTTGCTATGTCATTCGTGTTGCATGGGGTTGTTGATAATGTTCAACAAGTCTGGATGTACAAAAAGAAATGTAACCAAGACTGCGCGGAGCTCTTGGTACAGTCACAGGCTAAGCTAAAGAAACGGCTTCCTTCTGCGATAAGAGGTTGCTGCTGAGTATGATGATGACCGGTTGTGACTGAGAATTTCGTAACTAGATAGCCGATATAAAGATTCCACCTGTAGCACCCTCGGCGTGGTGTAAAACATGGCGAGGTACTATCGAACTGCTGAGCTCCGGGTCCAACAACACAGCTGCTCACCTGGCCTCTCAGTCAATAGGAAGCCTATCACGACGATAATAATAATAATGAATCGTGGCTGAGCCGACCCTTAGCACAATCAAGGCAACTCTATAGAGGGAGGATTCAGAAATCAAATGCCTATTGCAAACGAGTCATTCGAAATACCGCAAGGAGGCGGGACGGCTATGAAAGGGCCTTGTGGCTTCGCGCTACGGACGGGTGGCGGTCAGTTATCCTTCTAACAGTACACCAAGTCTTATGAAATGCGTAAATGTGCAATGGGCCCTCATGTTAATCTGTTGCTTTGAAAGGACAGTTATGACTGTGCGGTATTACCAGTATTGCTGTGTGACATGTGTATTACTGTGTGTCACTGTCAGTAATACTGATGCATAATCAACAAGCATCTGAGACGGCCATGGCGATACGCAGGCATAATAGAAGGATTTCTTCAACATCTGACACTACAGGTGGAATAGTAGAATGTGTAGTCTTAGGTCTGAAAACCATGATATGATTATGAGAGACGGCGTTGTGGAGGGCTTTGGAAATTTAGACCATAGGTCTTCTTAAACATGCACTGACATCACACAGTACATGCCGGCTTCTACCTTTACGCCTGCATCGAAATGCGACTGTCGCAGTCGGGATCGAAATCACGACCTTCGGTTAAGCAGCCGAGCACACTTGTCAGTGATCAACCAAGGCTGACACTGCAGGTGGAAGACAAAGCTATCCTAGGAGTCTAAACTTTGCGGGCGAGCGTACGCAAATTCGATGCTGTTTTATTGCGCCATTGTAAACTCGCGTGCTGATGAGAGAAGGCAGCTCACTGCATCGCTTTTCCAAAAATGACATTACTTCGATAGTATCTCAGCGATGATTTCACCAAATAATTTCCGAGATATTGCAGTTGTCTGATGTTCACTGATACTCTAAATTGAGCCAGAGAAGAAAAAAAAAAGAAGATGAGGAAAGGAAAAGATAACGGAAGAGAACCAAAAGAAAGCTCCCCAGCTCCGCTCTTCCTTCAGACGCCTGAATGAAGCGGCCTTTTTTTTTTTTTATAAATGGCCGTCTAAGCAAGTAGGAAATATTGGCTCATCGCATTCACTCAACGCACCTCCGCGGTGGTCTAGTGGCTAAGCTACTGGGCTGCTGACCCACAGGTCGCGGAATTGAATCCCGGCTGCGGCGGCTGCATTT